AATGTTTTATTACGTGCAAATACCGACTTGATAGAGTGCCCTTATAATCCAAATAAATAAAGAATTCTTCGTTCAAATTTAAATTCAATTTATTTCTTTATTTTATATACAAAAGTAAACGGATATTAAATATTACACCGTGAGACAACGTTGTACACTAAAAATATAAGAAATCTTTTGAATTTAAATCTGTTCTGGGATTCCTATATTCTGAATTGCTCCATCGATGGGGCTTAGAATATAATGACTGCTTTCTATAAGTAGGCGTAAGAGCTCCCGTTGCCCCGAAAAGGCCACTTTCAGATTCGGTTATAAACTAAATATATATTTATTCATTTGACTCTAGCTTAAAGCGGACTTATGACAACCTTTTTAATCTGATGGCAAACAGAACCTAAAACAATATTTTTGACTCTAGTGTAAACTTATGTCCACCTTTTTTTTTTTATTCTAGTTACACTAGAATACAAAAATGGGCCTGTGTCTAACTTTTGACTCTTTGGTAAACTGAAATTTTATCAACATTTTTTAATCTATTTAAGCCTAATCTATGCCGGTCTTTTTTTTAACTCTAGTGTAAACCTAACATATGTCCACCTTTTTGACTCCAGTGTAAACTGGATGAATGCTTACCTTTTTGACTCAAGAGTAAACAGAACCTTTGTCGACCTTTGTTACTCTAGATTGAAACCAGGCCTATATTTGACTTTTTGACTCGTGAGCAAACATTACTTATGGCCACCTATTTTATCACAGTGTAAACCGGACCTACCTTTGTCTTTTTGTGTTAAGGGTAAATCGAACCTTTGTTTATCCTTTTTATTCTAAAATAAACAGGACGTTTGTCTTCCTTTTTTTACACTATTTTAAACAGGACCAGATTTTGACTCCATTGTAAACCAGACCTATGTTTGCATTTTGACTCTAGGGTAAACCGAACCTATGTCTACCTTTCTTATTCTAGTTTAAACTTAACCACTCTCCACCTTTTTTGTCTCCAGTGTAAACCGAACCTATGTTTGCTCTTGATATAATTATGAACCGGACCTATCTTAACACTAATGTCAAAAAGTGAACACTGATTTGTCTTATTCTTGAGGTATTCTCCGAGGATGCAGCACCATTTCGGAGCGGTCTTGTCATGAGGGGTATATCGAGCTTCGTATATTTGTGTCCCAGCGTCACTGTGTTGGTGTTCTGCTTTCTCGTCGCCTAATAATTCATTCTAGGCCCGACCACAGTCCGGATTATTATAAACTCCACGTTCTTATCATTTGCTGTATAGAATGTGCTTCGCCAGACCTACATATGGTTTTCAATTCGGAGTTTTCCTCCTCCTACACTGGTTGCGAACTACGGCTGAAGAGAACATTCCGTCCTACTATTTAATCCATATCTAGGGCGTCTTTGATTCATACATTCACCAAGCGTATTTGTGTGAAAGTGAATATAACGAAACCCGACCTGGATACGAACTCGGTTCTCCGATTCCACTTTTCGAGTCGCTATCTGCTACACCACCAACACATCTACTACTACTACTACTACTACTACTACTACTACTAATAATAATAATAATAATAATAATAATAATAATAAATCTCGAAAATGTGGCATATAGGAACATCAACAATCCCTGTTGTAGTTGAAGCCCATGAGTGGTTGTAAAAGATTGCAGTAGACTAATTTAATGGATTCCTGGAAGTCCATGCCTCATAGAGATACAAAAAATTGTTCTGACAAGTACAGCCTACACTTTCCAAAGGGCTTTATCTATGTAATTTTCTTTCCTTTTTTTTTTTTTTTTGTCAGTGGAAAGTGTCATGATGCCATTTCTAACATTAGGTCCCTGGGCGGGACCCGGAAAGAAATGTGTAAACGCCAGAAATCAAAGGAAATAATAATAATAATAATAATAATAATAAATCTTTTGTGAAGTTACAAGTAATAATAATAATGATAATGAAACATGCAAGAAATTGTTATGTACATCCCCCTGGCTCTGTTACAGAGATAGGACATGTAACAATTTTATGGAATTTTACAATAAACACAGACAGAACAATCAAAACTAATCACCCAGACATCAAAGATCAAAGAACACAAGAAAAGAATGTCCTTTCTTATTGACATGACAGTCTCTGCTGGTTGTAATGTATATCTGAAGATCTTAAAAAACTGTCAAAATACAGTGATCTTGAAAAATATGGGATACAAGGATATCAGTAATTCTAATTGTAGTTGGAGTCCTCATTGAAGGATTGATTGGAAAAGGTTCTGATAGACTCATTGAAGAAAAAGATTATGTCTGGCCATTTCGCTTAGGTTTCTATGCCTTAAAGAAATACAAATAATAAAAATAATTAATCAATACAATAAAGCAGACAGCTCAAAACATCCTCAAAGAACGAAAGAATGCTTTTTATCTATGTCAAATGTAAAATATCGTGATCTTAGGTTCACAAAAATCTAGTACATGAGGACATTTTTTTTTTTTTACGAAAAAAAAAAAATGACTTAAAGAAATATAAAAAAAGTGGAAAATACGAAGAGCTTTATCATGTCAAATGTATGTGATCCAGTTTTTTTTTACAAAAAAAAAAAAACTTAGATCTCTCTGGTTGAGACCCGGAAGGAAATGTGTATACAACAGAAATCTAAGGAAATAATAATAATAATTCTTGCTTCGTAATTTTCCCTTTTTCTTATAAATGACTTATGTGCTACCAGCAAAGTTAAGAATATTTTTCTTTGAATTTATTTAACTAAAACATTATCACCATTGTAAAATAATTTACTCTTAAAGGGTTCAACATAGCGGATACTGACCATCCATTAAACTGACTGCAGTCGAGATCATTGTGAACTCATCGTTGCCTTAAGATTATCTTGACTACATATGGTTTTGAAGTCAGAGTTTTTCTTTACACTAGACTGGTTTCCAACCCAGGCTAAAGATCCAGGTCTGCGTTACTATTTAAACCAGAAAAGAAGTGGATTCATAATTTTCCCAAATGTATTTATGCGAAAGAGAGAAGTAACG